CGCTCCAGTTCCCAATCATCCGCTGGCTGTATGTACATACGATATTCCATATTGGGAAAACAATATGCTTCGTCGTAAGTTGTCAGGGGTAGAAGCTGTCCAACTTCCCGAAACGGTTCACGAAATAAAATAATAATTAGTTCATACGTCTGTCAATCAATACACCTAATTCCGTTCGGTCTGTTAGAACCACCCGTTTTTTATATCGACCAAGATTTCGTAAGCAACTAACGTTACGCGATCACCCAAGTTGTGCTTGGTCGATTCCAAAGTATTCAAGTGGATTAAATTAAAGAAGTTTCTTGCGAAAGGTGGTGAAATTTTCTTCGAGCACAGCTTTGATAGACGGTAGTTATGAAAGATTCTTAATTACTTTTAATCGCTGTTTCAGAACGACCTCTTTTCCCGATGAAGTATTCCTAAGTTTAATGGGAAAAGAAAAAGAAAAAAGGACCTACGTTTATTATTAACAGCTCACTGGGGTATATTTCGAAACGCCTTGCCACGTTTCACAGAATTACGTTTTCCCCCTGGTTACGCAAGATCGCACGAGTCCACGAAACCGTATTAATACATTTTCCATAAAGCTGTTTCCATCTCTACTGTTCTCTAGTTAACCGATACTAGGGAATAATGCACGGATCGTTTCCACCTGTAGCAAGCCGATGTGTTCATTAACCTGAAATATCAACAGCAGCATTTTCGACGATGTGCAACACGGCAACAGGATCTCGTGCACGGATGCACTTGGAGACCCTTATCGTGAATGCACTCGCCTCGATGGATAGCTCGAGTGGCCGACACGACGGACGTTTGGCCTGCGTTTACCAGATAACCAAAGATCGCTGCCTTTCCATCGCCTCTCTCTATCCACAATATTCGGATTCAACTTTGACCTACCCTATAGAAACGGGATCAAGTTCACTGTGAGATTTAATCAATTCCAGCCGGTACGGTGTTCAAATTTCGCTTTTAATTACATGTAGGGCTGTTTGCAAAATTAACTGGTTAACACGGTTGCACTAGCTTCTATTGAAACGATGGTGAATTGAAAATTCGAAGGATTGTTTCCGGATGTTTTCAGATTCAATGGAATTTAGCGTTTTAAAGTAAATTTCAAGATTAAACGATTAAAACTTTATAGAATTTTTCAACGAATAAATTCATATGCGGCAATAAAGGTCAATCGGTCGCGGCGAAAGGACATTTTTGCCGATAAATTTGAATTAATGAGAAACTTGGCAGGAGTACGGTTGGTTCAATCGATGACAGTCCCCTGGCGATGGGAAACTTACTTTTTGTAATTGCATTATGGAAAGTTACGCAGGAATTGCAAGCAGATGGTTAAAAATTTAATAAGGAACTCTGCACAGTGTAATCCCGTTTGCAACGCGTCCTTCTCTTATCTGTGTTTACTTGCTCAAACTCTATGCATCACTAACTAACAGGCATTAAATCTTCGGTATGAAATTACCATAAAACGATGCTATTCTAAATGGGATTATGCCTTAAAGTAGCCATTTTTTTAAACGAAACTGTACATCGCCTCCGACCTTTCGAACGAGTTATTGGTATCTACAGAGGAGCATTGTGCCAGAAAGGTACTGGAGATTGAGGAAAAAGAGTAATTTTCAAGTTCTGTACGTCATCGAACTCCACCTTTTCACCCTAACATATCGGTAGCTATAAAATATTAAGTAGAACCCAACGTTATAAAAGATTAAATTTAAAGCAATTGTTTCTCGGAAACGTTAATTAAATTCTAAATTTATTTACATATTTGTAAAAGGAAGGGAATCGTTTATAGAAGAATATCCTTTTGTTCAATGAAAGCCTTAATTCGAATCGACGGAAATCCGGTTAAAATGTATCAGTTCACGAACAATGCAATTATCAAGAATGTATCTGTGTTGTGTCGAACTGGAACGAACAAGGAGTTCCATTTAACTCGGGATGATTTTCTGCAGCGAATCTATACAAATGAGTTTCATCTATCTGTAAGCAATTCAACGATCGAGAATTGTTCAATGTAATAGACTGGGATGATTGAAAAAAAATTCGTTCTTAAAGTAGGTACAATTATTCAGAGAATAAATTTGTATCTACGTTTTATAACAACGAAACGAAAGCTTACAAAATAATCTCCAGAGGTTTCGTAACATCGATTATGTAACATATTACGCAATACGCGTTCTATCAAAGCAATATATGAAATATATTGATAAAAATAACAAAAGTATTTGTTCAATCGATCGGCTACTCTTTTTTTTTCATGAAGAGACATGTACTGGCAACGGCATAAATTCTTGTAAAAAAGTGATTCCCGACGCGTATTGGAATTTTTATCGAAACTTCTGTAAAAGTGGAAACTCGAATGAGAAGCTAGTCGAACGAGCGTTCGAACTCGAAGGACGAGCAGCAACTTTAATCCTTGTGCAAATAGAACGAACGCGGCCTCGTCGAGGGAACTCGAGGAAAAAATAAAAAAGGGGATATAATGAAAAAAGGAAAAACTAGATGCAAAGGGAAAGTTTATAAAGCAAGGCACAAAGGAACGTGATGTAGCTGGAGAAATACGACCAGAAACGGTGAACCTTAAAATTGAATGAAAAAAAAAAATGAAACGCGAACTGAGGTAAGAAAAATTTTTTAAGATCTCTAGAGTCATAGCCAGGTATTTTCATTTGAAAAAGCTTCACATTTTCAATTGAATTTGAAGTCACATTTGGGTGATTAATCTTCAGTTGGATTCTCTAATGGGATTCGTTCGAATGTTCCACTCTAATGCGTTCTTTTATCACGATTTCCCTCATTTTCCCGACACATTCATCAGACGAAGAGTGACTGACTGACTGACTGACTGAAAAGCTCGTAGTCGCTAGTTCACCCACGCTGAGATGAAAAGCTGGATAAAAAGCGTGAATGAAAGCAAAGGGAAGAAGAAGAAACGAAATCATAAGGGCGATGGAGGTTGCTCTGATAAAGCAACGAACACCACAGAGATAACTCAGTTCATTTTATAGTTATAAAGTTTCACATAATCTTCTAAAGTTTCAATTTTTATTCTCACGTAGAATCATCAGATTTTCGGTCGTATCAGCAATTTGGTGGTATCCTGTAGATTGTAGATTGTTCGCGACTGATATAGATAGACTGTACAAGCAAGGAAAATGGGCGGATACGGATCGATCCAGAGTACCATTCCGTGGGCGTTCGTTCTTCCAATGGGAGAGAAGGAGACGAGGAATCGTCTACGTAACACGGTTTCAATGGGAAATTGCGATCTATGCATGCATTAGGATATACCCTGACTCCTGCAAGAGGCTTCGGTGAGAGTCTACTATGCTTGGTGATTAGAGACCCTATTTATCTTGTCATTTCCCCTAGTGAAATCAATTTCTGAGACAATCACGCGTGATCGTGGCCTGGCTCGAATGGTAAATGTCAAAGTTCGCCTTGTAAATTCGAGCTTGAATGAAAAGCTGCGTCTGGCGCAACAACGAGATTTTCTGATTGACGAGAGTTGGATAACAGGGAGAAATAACAAGATCCTGTTCTTTCTTTCATTTTCTGCTAGCGGGATAACAATGGTATTGATTCAAAAAATTATTCGTTTCAGACTCCTGCATAAAAATAGTAAAATATTACTAAAAAAAAACTTTAAAGGAGCATGTCGACTATTTTGAGTTAATTAAACATTCAGCACCCAATCATTGAGATTTGTAAATGTTTATTGCGTGACATTATCTTATAGCTTATCGATAGAGTAAAGTAACGATCGTTATAAATGAACTGACAGGTTATATGTTACGTAGGAAATACAGTGACCGTACATGGCACCGTAGTTTCGCGATTGATCAATTTCGAACAATCGCTGTGAAGCGAACTACTTCAGTCCACTCTACTTAACAATACGATAACAATGAATCGTAACAATGAGCGTTTAACGCTTTATTTGATCAAAACGCAGATTGATTAAGTGTTTTATCAATTTAAAAATCGACATTAAAACGAGCGATATGGTCGTTCGGACGCTTACACGAGTTATGTACATCGTACAGCGTTCATAATTCCCGCCAAAACTTATTTCCTACGTGTCAATCGTTATGGATACAAAAATTGCTTACCAATGATGAATTTAGCACGGTAGTAGATCTGGAACGATTCCATGAATCCCATCAACTGTTTATCCACGCAAAACTTACTGAAGAATAACCTCTGAGTGTAGCATTGCCAAAGTCGCGAGGATTTGTTTCAATTCAATTAATCACCGTCACTCACAAATACCGAAAACATCGTAACTCTTCTATCACGTACGCCGTTAATCGTGCACTCTTAAACACAATAGGAAAGCATTCGACGAAGACGAAAGGTCCAAACACCGGAATCTTTTCAAACGTCGCACGATTTTGAACAGTTCGCTTATGTATACTAACGCAGTAACTCGGCATTTACGAAAGATTCGATATGATTGGTTGAAAGCTGCTGTTGGTAACGAACGGACCAATCAAAACGTGCCCCTGATCCGCCATGTTGGGTAGCCATCTTTAGAACGCAGTATATGCTTCAGATTCAAGCCGCACTACTTCGCGTACGGCGTGTGAATTTTCGCGCTTAAAAAAATTAGAAAATTCGCGGAATTTACCGTTTTTAAGTGCGAATTTTAGAATTGTCGTGTGTATTTGTGACTCCGCGATAAATATAAATCAGTGTCTGCGTTTAAAAGTTTCGAAATTTCTTGTAAACTGAACATACGTGACTTTGTCGAATCTACGCGTCCTTTGTGTTTCTTATTCGACCTTATTCGAGTTCCTCTCCGTACAAATGTGTTTCTCGTGCTTTCTATCTAACTTCGTGCGTGGAATTGAACGACTCGTGAAAACTATTGGCCACTGAACAATTAAAGAGACGCTTGCTAGCTATTGCACACGCACACGCACACACACGAGGATTATGATTCGAGATGAACGGTGGCGATATCTAAGGTACGTACTACGTGATTACTCGAGTATTCTTCTACTTTAATTACTCCAATAGATTTTCCATCCGACAATGACGGATATCTAAGCTCACTAATAACTTCTTACTTAATTCTAAAGTCGGTATCACGATGCAAAAAGACGCGCTTCTCCGTCGGTAAACTCGGTCTCTATCATTCCTCTTTTCTTTTATTTTCTTCCATCTTCTTCCATTTTTACAAGCGATTCGTATACAAGATGTTGGATCTCTAATGAAACGCTTCTTGGCTATTATATCGCTACTATTTACAAGAGCACCCTGTTGGCAGGGTGAAACGTGTCGTAGAATAAGGAACGATACTGTTAAAGATTTAGTTAGAATACTCTTTGATGAACACAGGAATGTTCGATTCCATTTTCTTTTATCCTCACGTTAATCGAGTTAATTACTGGGATTAGAATGTTGAGGTTCTTGTGTTAGTTACATATTTTATAGATGTATGGAAAATGGAATCCACCTTGCCAGTACATGCTGTTGAAAGTTTGTTTGCATAATCAACGTAAACCTGTAAAAATCTAAATAATGTGTGTGTTAGGAAAGAATTAAAATTGTCAAGGTGGATCGCATTTTTCGCAATTACTATTTTATATTTTTTGCCATTTTTTGTACGCAACCACAAGAGTCCCAATTAATACATGAACTGACTGGCTGAAAACGTGCAACTCGTTATTGCTTTAATCTTTAATACGTATATATTATCAGCTATATGCTGCGCGTTTTTGTAAAAATGTTATGCCTAAGAATAATACACGATGAAATGATGCGACGAACGAATATTTTAATAGAATTGAAATTAATCATTTTCCAAAATTTGGAATTCTAATCTAAAGGTGTTTTTATAATGTTCATTAAATGCTGACAGTTTCCTTTTTCCGGATTTGCTTCTCTATCGTTTGACCTCTGTACAAAAATTACAACAGTTCAGTTATATCGTTTCACGTGTTTATTATACTCGTGCCGCAATTTCTCTTTTTCCTCTTACGACGGATAAAACAATGTTCCCTTCCATCGTTGAACGTTAAAACAACACTTTTTCACATTGGCCGTGCATCGTGAACAAAGATAAAAATCAATCCGTCATGTGTTCATTTTTCACTGACATCGTCGATCCGGGTGTCAAGAGATTCAGTGATTCAGTGCCTGATATCAGCTTCGTCTGCCGACTGATTTTCAAGAGTGCAAGGCCTGAGAAATTCTTGACCTCTTTCGTGAAGCCATTTGTTCGCCACTGAAATGAAATCCAAAAATTCAATAGACTAGTTCGATTCGATAAATTCTAATTTACGTGAACGTGTTGAAATACCCCATTTGGAACCGGTAAGCACCGGACAGGCCGCGTGTCTAGTTTTAAAATCTCCTTCTCCGTTCGGTTTCAAATTGTACCAAAATGCAGCACTGCCTTTCCTAGGCCACAGGGAGATGTTGATGGCCGTGAAAACGGTACCACCGCCTTGTTCTACGTCGCTCATCTAGAGAAACGATTTAGAAAATTGATATACTGTGCGAGGATTCCTAAGCACGGTTAGTACTTACGTAATACAGAACAGTAGCAATACGATTTCCAGTTCCTAGACTCTTGAACGCGTTCGTTTCCTCTTTCTGAAGATAAACAATGGATTATCTTAATATCACGTGTATCGAGAGTCGCCTAAGATTTTCAAGCGACGTAAACTCACCCTTGCGAAATCAAAATGTGGCTCGTAATGGCCACCGATACCGTAATTAACCACTTGCAATTCTTCTGCTGTATCTACGGACAAACTTGACATGTGTTCCACGCGTCTGCTCACCGCTGCCACGTGTTTGTGCTCGTGTTCCTGCAGCCAGGCGCTTTTACTAATTCTATAGTTTGCAATCTCTAAGGCACCAGTTTTGTAATTTTGCACCGTAGCACGTTTAAACTGTAGTAACAAGAAATAAGAAAAATTTATATTTAATATAGGGAGATAAATTGATGTATATAGCGACAATGTTGTATACCCTTGGTTGTGCCATTCTTTTGATCGTTTCAATTTCATCGTCGTATATCACGTTATGGTAAACGACAATCCTCGGGTCCAAGTAGGCTTCTTCCTCCTTCAACGGTGCAATCTTCAAAAACGGAATACCACGATCGACGTAACGACACTTGAGGTTCTTCTGTATTTCCGGTGGAGTAGAAACTTCCCCGCGACACAGCATCTCGTATCGTTCCCTTTCCGACATTTCCTCCCAGGTTTTCACTTTTTCTTCAACGACCGTAAAGTGCTAGTAAAATAGGAATTAATTGAAAATTGATTTGGAAAGAATTTGGAAACAAACAATTGTTAGAGGAAATAATTTGCATAATAGATGGCGAGGAGGATGTATGTTACTTGAGCGGGTACAGCTGTGTCGTCCTGGCCGTCCTCGCCGCGTTTCTTCTTCGACTGATTCGCCTTGCTCTGAATTTCCTTCTGGTAATAAGCACGGTTGCCTAAGGCTCGTTCGTGGGTTGGTACAAGCTTCAAAAGCTCGTTCGTCATGCTTAAAGCACGTGCCACGTTCCCTACGTACAATAGAATAAATTTCATTAGTAAATCGAGTTAGCGTGGCGTCGGTTGTGGCGGCAAGAAGTAAAGGCTACGTGCCGCTATTTACACAATTCGATATTAAATCTCCTCGGAACGAGTAAAACGTTAAATTTCCTATTATTAACGAATCGCTAGACTTCTGCTATTCGACGATTTCACGGTGGAAAGGGCTGAGAACGTCAGCGTTTCGACGATCTTCGCCGAACCGAACGGCAGAGAAAGAGAAAGAGCAATCGGGTCGTAATGCATTCGACGAACTTTTAATGAAGCTTTAAACAAACTAACCGACCGAGCAACTTCAACGTCCGACGACGTAAAATTTGATGGCAATTAAATTCCCTTCCAGTTCTTTCGAATACCTTTTCCCGCGGGCTTGTTTGAAATTGATTTCACGGACATTAAATCTATTTCCACCTTCTATCAGAACTTTGCACGACAACGGGAGTACCTATTGACATTGACGGAGTTTCATTCACGCCCCTATTCGGCCCTTTCTTTTTCCCTTCATTCTTCTTCTTCTTTTTCTTTTTTTTATCAGTGTTTTTCAATATCTTGGAAACTTTCTCCTCTTTCAATAAAGTATTCAAGGATACCGTTTTAACAATTTTGAACCGTTCTATTGTAAATAAATAACATTTCCATCTCCATGAAATGTGTTTTCAGGTTTCTGGTCGTACGAGTTAGTGCTATAAATTATTGTTCTCGGTTTTGTTTTTAATCGTTCCAAATGGAGTTCAACCGCAAATTATTTACCTTTGTTCGAAACAATTTAAGCTGCTATTTTGCGAGAATAAATATTTCGCGAGCAATCGGATTTTTAACGAGGAAAAACGCGAGCAATCTGTAAATTCTGTAACCTCAGAATAACATCACGGACGCGTTAGTAATTTAGTTTCTAATTTATAACAGTTTCGCGACTTTTTACGGGTTCGTGGAGTAATCTTTTATTTTCTCTCACTTTTCTGCTAGCGAATCCGTCGTCCTCGGTACAACTGAAAACCGCGATGCGTCCATTTCAATTTGTCCAACGAACGCTAGCTATCTACATTATTATCACTCTGGTAAAATCGCAAGACAACCAAAAAAACAAGCGAAACGAATAAATAATATTAAAACAAACGACCTTCTACTATAATATATTTCTCTTGTTTCAGTCGCAAGCTTTTATGTTATTTGCATATCATTTTTCAGATCGTACAATGTAGATTGTTTAATTTTCATATTTAAATGCTTATGAACGCGATGGCATATCGATTACCGAACGTATAATTGTGTATCAATTAAATGTACATAATTGTATATTTAATAGATCATTTAGATGTTAATCGTAACTTTTAATAGCATATCTTGGGTAATCAATATGCAATGGCATATTGATCACCCAAGATATAATTGTAGTATACCTTGCATGTATGTTGAGAAGGCTAGGTATTCTAATATATCTGGTTTCGAAGTTGTGGTCGCGTTCTTTTCTTCCTGAAGACGATCCATAGCTTCTTGCATCCACAGAACAGTGTGATAATAATCACGATTGTGATAAGACTGCCGTCCTAGCTCGAAACAATCGCCAGCTGTAAGAGAGTAGAGAAAAATAACTAATTATCATCATTATGATAATTTTTATTGATAATTTTTGATAATTTTTATTGAAATAAGAGAGCATCGGGGGAAAAAAATTGCTTGGTCCGATTTCGACTTGTTCGTGGTGGAAGGATGGTCGCTGGCGTTTGATTGTTCCACGAGTCGGAAGCCCACTCTGTATAATTCATGACTCGATTATCATAATTGCATTCGCAATAACAGCGGAAGATGGAGCGAGCTGTGTTGAAAATTTGAAAGTTAAAATGAAAAAATACAAGAAGCGAACTAAAGCTTTCGTGTTTTTCCAAGTTTCTGGCCCGGTTGAATCGAACGATCCGGAAGGATGCAAAGTTTTAACGAAACTTTAAGGGTTTCTCAATGCCTCGTTACATATTCCAACCGGCGGCGCCGCGTCAAACCATGGAACTTTATCCCTTCCTTTCTCTTTCCCTTTTTCCTTTACGAGAAAAGCTTGCTTCGTTAATTAATTTCTGCGTATCCTTTTTTCACCGTTTACCACTCTCTTATTGTTAGACGCAGCAGTGGATTCAGGATACTTGCTTGGAGGAGGGAAAATATCAAAGTATATTTTTCGATTTTCTTTTACAGTACACCTACATTAATTTTTCTAAGTTTTCATAATTTTCAAGTGTAAGAACGGACGTCTCCCTTCAACGTTCGGCGTCTAGGTTTATTTCGTTATAAGAGCTTCCAAAAAAATAAAACGAGGTTTACGGGGGGATTCGTGCGACTGTAATGGAGTTGCAGATTGAATCGCATAAAGAAGATACATTGCAACGGCTATATAAAATACGGGACCACTGGTTTATAACTTGATCGTAAACGAACGTCGAAAAGAGGCTTGAATGTAAAATCTTATAAGACGATTCGGTACTTTGAAATATTTCCAAAAGTTTGTATGATAAGCGGAAAATATATTGGGAAGATAATTTACCATTGGATTTAGTTCATTTGTATTAATCATTTCGTTCGGAATTCTTAAAATATCGAATCCTTTTGTAATTTGAAATTCTGACCCGAACTCGAAGAACGATAAAAGTAGAAGAGAGAAATTTCTACTCTATTCAATATTCATCTAATTCTTCTTTCGTGCTCGATAAATGATGCAGAGAAAGGATCGATGAAAAAAATCACTCTGCTGTCGCGGTAAAAGGTTGAAAAGCCAGGGTAATAAAAGAAGGGATAAAATAGAGGAAACGCGTCGTCGGTGACATTAGAAACTGCGAATTGCTACGGTATTATCGCGAAGCAAAATCGGCGAAAGGTCGGCAGAGAACGGGGACAGGACACTGAAAAAGGAAATCACGTAAATTATTCATTGCCGAGGATCGTTAAGTACAGGTATCTAACATCGGCAGCCTCGATATCCCTGTCGATTCGTAACATTTCAACCTCACTCTTGGCTCAATAAATAATTCACCAAGGAGAAGCTTTTACTCTGTAACTTTAACGAACAATTATTAAAATTAGGTGATAAAAGTGGATTTTTGGATTTAAAACAAAAATGGAAAAAGGATTCTCCATTTGCAAATACAAACTTCCGAGGGAACAATAACGCTTTTGAAAACAACTCGTCTCAGGTATTCATTAAAGCCTCGTTTCGCAGCGGTGTTGATTTTCCTGAATAAAAGCTGGATGGTGAAATTAGGTCCCACGATTATGTTTACCATGTATGTACACGTTTCGAGGAAAACCTTTTAAATTATTCATCTGAAAACCTTTTAGAAAATAATCTGCAAATTCTCCCACTATTCTTTTCTTCCTTTGATTACGTTAGCTATTAAACGATTCCATTGATGCGATGGTTCAACGATTTATCAGTCAGACCAGTCTAGGACACAAAAGATCGAGGAACGATCGATTCTTCTTAGAATTGCCACTGAGTTAGTGGTTGAAATAAAAAAATAGAAAAAGAGGAAAAGGAAGAAAAAAGTAAAGTACGAACCGCTTAATCCAGTGCTGTATTGAACTCCATTCAGCACGCCTCTGGCGACCTGTGCAGTTTCAAGTTTGTACGTGTCCTGTAGCCTCATCAAAGCAACGGCAGCGCCATTAAGGTCCTCGTCAGTTGGGAATTTAAGGTCGCTTCGTGAACTGGTGATATTCGCGACGAAAGATTTGCCCACGTCCTGGGTTATCAGCTCTTCGACCCGCTTCCAATCGGTGGTCAGTCTTTTTACAAGCAGATAAGCGTTGATTGGATTCGACAGGTACTGCTGAATGTTCCTCGAAGCTTCCTCGTGCTCTCTCGCGTAATCCTCTACATTCCTGAAACAACCAGATTTTCTTTCTCTTACTCAAACGTGTTCGTCCGAAATTCACTCGTGCTTTGGTTCGAACAAAAATTTTTTTTTTTTTCTTGGACAAAAATTGGAGTAAAATTAATTGCTCAGCTACACGAACGTTCATCCGATTATTCGCTAATGAAAGTGAGAGATTCGATGTATGGAAAAGAAATTGTACACGCTTTTAAATTGAATCTCCTTTTGGCTAGGGGGTTGCCACCTTCCTTTTATCTCTATTCTTCAACTTCCCCTCTTTACTATAATTCAGCAGATGTGCCTCGCGATTCAAGGAACATTTCCGCGACACTTTGCGCAACGACCATTTTATTTCGCACCATTTCCTCCCGCGTTTTACGTATTTACATTAGTCCCGAGATATAGATTATAAGGAATTTCACATTTCATCGTATCGTTGAAACGATTTAAAGATCCCGGTGTTTCGTGACGTTCCATTTGCGATCACGTTCCCCAACAAAGACCGATATAATCCCTGTACGTCCGTGCACCACTTCTCACACCGAAATCGGTTTCCGGCCTTTAAAGAGAAATACAAAGGACTTGGCAAGATGACGAGGGAATTATTCAGTCCTGTTCTCCATTTTACCGGCCAGCCTGTAATAGGCAATAACTGCCTGACGTAGATAACGAGCAGTCCGACCCCTCCATCCCTAAAGGGACAGAGATAATTCGCGAAGATCGTTCTAGCGCGTGGAAAAGCCAACAGGGAACTGGCCATCCCTCCTCGACGTAATAATACGTCGTCCGACGGGAGAGGCGCGTGGTTCGCATACAGATTCACCAGAATCTGATTAATTCCTCTACGATTGTTCATTTTCACCCCGTTCCTGCATAGATAGGATAGACCGATACCAGAAAAATCTTACGCCTATTAAATAACTCGTTTCAGATAAAATTTCACATCTTAGAAAATAGAAATTTTCATTTCTGTTATAATTTCTGATATCGAACGATATCGTACCGATATAGAATTGGCGAATATCCCTCGTAGATTATCCGGCGCTATCGATAATCTGAAACTCCATTTGCAACGCAAGAATGCCAGGCGATAACGCGAATCTGGTGGAGAATGTTCCGATCCGGTCAATCAATCAGACCCGTATCGGATGCTGGCCATCATATCCGCTACGAATTACGTCGAATTAAAGTCACGATAAAGCGTTCTGTTTCGGCCGAGTTTCCATTTTGATCGCATTTGCATGAACGTTACCCCCACCCCGTTCCCTCTCGTTATCTCGACCGAACCGATCACGCAAATGGCCCTTCTCCTACGCCCTTCCACTGTTCTCAATCTCGTGGTTGAACGACCGGATAAAACGACAGTCGAAAGAAAACGCGTCCAACCATCTCCGTGGCATCGCCATGGGGGATCTCTGATTCAGAAAATACATTCTGCCTTTCGAAATGAAATTGTCCTTTCCTATCGGCCATCTGACTCTCCTCTTCGTCTTTCTTACTATCTCCTTTGTCTATCCTTTACTATTTCAGATAACGATTCTTTTTCATCCTTACACGATATCTTTCCCTCAAACTTACACCTTTTTTCTTTTCTTTTAACTCATTCCAGATTAACTCTTTCACTGATAATTTTGTAGAAAATACGAAAAATGTTAAATAGCTTTAAGTATCAGTTAAAGCGTTAATTTTAATACGGCCTTGGAACACGGACGAAAAGTTCTAATTTGCTTGCCATCACGGTTGACCACCTCGCATCCCTCTTTAACGAGGGGGATGAATTAGTCGTTCGCGTTGACGAAACGCTCTAACGAGCAGTATTTTAACGTCGACACGTTCGATTTCCACTGGCCTGTGAAATTATTCAAGCCATCGAACATTCTTTTCAAGAATTTCCAAACTATTAGATCGCGGCTAGCGACGACGACTGACAACTGACAATGAGATAGGTTGATAGCTAACTTTCCGTGGCATAGACGAATAATTAATTATCCTACGATAACCAGAAGCCGGATTGAGAGGATATCTTTGTAGAACTGACTGATGAATGATAAATGATTTGGTTACGCTGCAGAGTTTGAAACTGGATCGAGTTTATTGTTCAAACGAAATTAAAGTTAAAGGCATGCAACACGAGAATCAGTTAAGTGCTTTCATTAATTACTGAGCTTTCAGTAGATCCTTAATTTTGTTTTTAACAATGAGATAAATCTGTCGTCAATTAATTCATTCTTGACACTCCGAAGAAAACAGTTCTTATCGAAATGAATATTTCAACGCAAGTTACTCCGAATGGGTGCTGGTAACAGCTGGTAAATGCACGTATATAAATACAGTGCAATTTGTGCAAGGTGCGTCGTGTCGACACAATTATCAGTGTTTCGAGTGTCGTCTGCGTCATTTCCATGCTTCCTTTCCGTGCAATTTCCATCATGAATCGTCCTGATGAAAATCGGCCTCTCTTCTTTTCTTCAACTTAATGGAATGCTATTGTATGCGAACGACAGCAGTGTTGACGCGAAAATTTATTATCTATGAGAGTGGTCTGTGCCGTTCTAAATGGCCATAAACTGGGTAGAAAGGAAAAGCTGGAAAATTGGAGAAACTTGAAATTGAAATTGAATTTTCTTCAATTTCAGTCATTTCAATTAGATAAACAATAGGTAAACTGTAAAAGTTTGCAAAGAGAATGAAATGGTTACAGTGGAAGTGTTTTTCTAACGCGTCTCGTCTGTATAGAGTAAGCTGGAAGTTCTGTCAGACAATTTATGGGGTTACCTTACACTTCACGGTAACAAAAGGTGTTCTGAAGTTATTTGTCATACAAACTGTATGCACCAAATGCACGTAGTCACACGATATAGATAAATGTGGACAATGAGAATGACAAATAATGTACGCAAGAACCTGACACGAATAAGTAAGAATGAGAGTAGCTTACCGTGTCGCACCGAGTGATTACTTTTTTAAAATATCGCCAACAATTTTGTATATGTTACCGATGCAAATTACGGTCACTTAAACGATTGCCTGATCCATCAAGAACGATGAACGCGTTTTCAACGTATTAAACGTTAATTTTTCGACACGAACGGTGTAATTAAAATTAATTATATCGATCACGGGGCAGGTGGTAGACCAGAAGAAAAAGGAGGAAGAAAAATGACAGGGAATAATCCAAGGGTTGAGGTTAATGGTGGTTCCAATTAAGATAATACTTCAGCCGGTTTCATCTGGACGAGATAGGGGTCAGAGGAAATCGGAGGAAAGTCTGCGAAAACCGCGTGTCCTTACGGGCATCGTAGACCGTCTCCACGGAGTTGTCCTGCGGCTCGTTTGCCCCGATGGAAGCAATTAAAATAATGGCAAGTTTCACGGCCCGACTCGACTATGCTGTTCGAGCTTCTTTAACGGACGCTGGAAAGTGGTCGACTCGTGGTTCCATTATCTTGCGCGACACCATCGCGTCTAATCGATGTACCTAATCGAAAAATATCTTGCCAACTTTGTTTCGCGATAAGAGAGTATCATGTATCAACGTATCACGAGGAATTTTTAATTAACGTTCAATTTCTTTCGGTTTCAGGTTTCTGTTAGCAGAGGGTGCAGGCTGCTACGATGGGGAATAATTTCGGTAAGTTGTTTCCCGCATTTCGAATAAAATTCTAGAGGAGGTGATTAAGTACACGGATGTAGATGAATTTAGCATTTTAGAGTATCGCTACGCGAAACTTTCCGCATTGTTCTCCTCGCCCTAAGTACCTCATTTGTACTTCCATTATCTTTGGGGTAGTAGCCTGTTGCGGAAAAAGCCAGGATAAAATATAGTCACGCGAAATATATTTCAACGCATACTTACGTTTTAATAATCGATAAACCTTTTAAAAATTTCTATACCCTATACGCGCAGTATGATTGATTTATTGTATTTTTCGAACGGTTGAAAATGCTTTTAAATTTACCAGCCACTGGGCTGACAGAAATTTCGATTCTACACCTTTACCAGCGTTCAATGGTATCACGTTTAACACCGATAACGCGTAAACCAAATTCTATTCATAGACCGATCTGTTCCCAAAGGGAATTCAGTTTGAAAGGGATTAAAATATCCGTGCACAAAAGTGGTTTATCACTCTTTAAACGCGATGTTCCGCAAAATCGATGAACATTTTGTAAAAGTGTTCAATTATTCAGCAAATGTACGTCGAATCTACTCTACAATTTTTACAAGTCATTTGCATTGCTGACATCGAACACATCCGTCTATCACAGACAATATTTTTTAATTTTTTATCAAAGCCCTGCTCGCGATAACCTGCTAAACACGAGGGCAAAGTTTATTGAATATCTTAGCGAACACATAGTACGTGTGGTTTGCAACGAAAGGGTTAATAATGTAGGAAAGCTAGGCTCTCGGGATCCGATAAATTATTCCCCGCCATTAGATCCCAAGAGAATTATTCGATTAAATCTTGATTCAACGGGGACGCGATCTTCCGCGTACATCGGCCGCGACACGTACAGACGCTATCCTGGTGTCGCGCCACGCCGCGCCACGCCGGTTTTGCTTCCTGCCGAGCACCAGGAATCTTCCTCGCCCCTGTTAATCAACGTACTTACCAGTGTCGCGGAATAATTGACCGAGTCGGGGACAACGGTGAACGGGAACACGCGTCAGCTGTTTTTCGACGCGGTTTCCCTCCACTGCGAAATTTCGACGACCACGCACTTTTGCCTACGCCACTAATACGAGAAAAGGGGAAAAGCGAACCCCTTGATTATCCTGTTGCTTCGCTGTCGGTTATTTTAATTGACGCGTCGAATATTGGCCGGCTCCGCGATATCTTTCGTTCTCATTGTCCTTATTTTTCTTACGCAAAAGCAATTATCGAAACGCCCAGCAGAGAATTTCGAAAACCCAATCTCTGATTGAATGAAAACATTTTACGCCAGAATTCTATTGTATTGTTTGGTTGAATCGATCCGAAACGCGTCGCGTTCGCAGCAATT